GCAAAACTACTTTAAGGGGTCTTGGGTATAAGATTAAATCACGATTTGGCTCTGCTTTGCCAAGGTGGAATGTTTTCTGTACTGTAATGATCTCCTCATCCGGCAGAATTTTGTCGACGTTAATGATTAATATGATTCATATCATGTGTCCATCTTTCCTGTGGAGTGTTTGCTGTGGAATCGGGAACACCCTTTATCACGATATTGCGCTTCCGGTTTATGGGCGAGTATTTTAGTTTCCCATCTGCGCATTGTTGTATTAGGACAGATTCACTGCCAGGATCCGCGCTTACTGAAGCCCTCATGTCCGTTTTAGTCTTCGAAAGAAAGTGCTTTTGCATATCAGTTCTTAGAATGATGCCCATGTTGCTCATTTGTAGAAATGCCTCGAAACAGCAAACGACATTGTTAGGAGTGAATCATGCCCGCAGTGGAGTTCTGAAACTACTATTCCTAAGATTAACAAAAAAGCCTTCCATAAAAGGTTACCTCTTCGAAAGTGCTTTGATTAGATATTCGGCTGGCGAACTTTTGCGTATATTAACGTTTCCCAGCGTAATGTCATAATGAAATTTGACAATTTCGACAGTTTCTCTAATTTTCCTGAAGAAAAACGATTCAGTTTGACTGGAGATGAAAGAACTGTGTTTTCGCTTTATAACGGATTATTTTTCGCATATGTAGATTAATTCCACTTTCTGATATAATCTTGCGAATTCAAAAACACTGGTCATATACATTGCCATTTTTGAAATACTTTTGATTCTTCTGTCGGTTCCGTTTCTAAATAACGCAAAAAGAGAACGTAAAGTACACAAAAAACTATATTTCTACTTGACTTACATTCAATGAGGCCTTCTTTATCTTAAATTTGCGTTAGAATATTCGAAATTTTGCAAATGCGCAAGGAAATTTGTGCGTTTACTTTCCTTGTTTCTGTTACTGCATTTTGTGCAGAAAACGTCACAGGATAGCTTAACATAATTTTTAAATTACAAATCTCCAAGGTTACTGCAAATAAATGCGATTACTTAAAATTTGCCTCATTTGAACTTGAACAAATGTGGACAACATTTTTCAGTTCTGGAAGGGGTATCTTCTACACCTTTTTACTTATTTTGGAGTTCCTTCATAGTATAACCAATATTAACGTGCAGTTTTGTTCTCTCTTCCGTAATAGCACAGGAAATTCCTTCGATATAAGACTACTCCCAATTCCCCGAAAATGAATGGCCATTTCTTTTAATAAACCTAACTAAAGTGATGATTTTCCTTATTAAAAGGCTTTCAAAGAATTCAATCAACTGAATGAATCAAAATAGTGTTACTAAATATACGCTTAAGTACCTAGTCAAATTTCATCATGAAAGTTGCATGGTCTTTGGCGGCTACTGTAGTTTACATTTAATACTGGGCATCTTTTGACCGCCATTCAGAAGTAGCCTGTACGTATTCATGACAGAGTAAACGATAAGGGCGACGGAACGAGCGAGGGAATTAACTTAACTCTAGCCATTTCAAGGATCTCACATTTATGAGCCGCCCGACGGCATATGAAAGCGCTCTGTGGATCAAGATTCGTCCTTCTTCGATCGCCTTCCTTAAATTTGAGCGTTCTCCGGCTGAGTAGATGCTTTTCGCCGATCGACTGTGTGCACATTACACGAATGAACTCGATCAATTTCACTGCAATTGCTGCATTGGCTTGATTCTGATGCCTTCAAGGAGCAATCAGAGACAGCAACAACATTTGACGTGACAGAAAAGGATTTACTTTTCTTCATAAGGAAAAGTTTCAAAAAATGTATGAACGCTTGGGGTCTGGAAGAAGCTTCCTCCCAAGTCTGACATAAACGTTATCAGTCACGCAAGCCAGTTCTCACAAACAATTTCACTTGAAGCAGAAATGCAAATCCAGTTTTTAGTTTGCTGACGGCAGTTCAGTGTGGGTGCGTGTGTTTTAGGTGTAAATAAACTAAAACAAACAGAGAAGTGTACAAATGGTCGTGCGAATGCCATATGGACGGTGGGCGAGCTGTTGACCGTAGGTGGGAATGTGGGACGCTGCAGAAGGCCACAGCATTGTTAAAAAGCTTAAATCAGTGATCAGCCTATGATTCCTCGGTATCGTCATAATCGTCCTCATCATCATCATCATCCTCATCGTCATCCTCATCGTCGTCGTCATCATCATCTTCATCGTCATCTTCGTCGTCCTCATCATCTTCACTCTCTTCACTGCTGTTGGTCTGGGCACTTTGAACGCTTTGCTTGGTAACTGACGCCGGGGCACCAGGAAGTGGCGACATACGAAAGTTAGAGGACGGTGCGGCTGCA